TGTATTTGTGTTTATGTGTAAGTCTATAATGTGCACTCATGTACATAGGGATCTCTTTGCCTTTTCCCCATCAAACCTGCTAAGACTTTCTGTGTATATATTGGATCAAAGAAGTTGTCCCATTCCTATCTCTGGGATGGTTCCTATCATTTTTCTGGGATACAGTCAGACCTTGCCAAGGCTGGCCCCAGAAACAACCAGACATAAGTGCCTGAGTCGGGGGAGACCTCTTTAGACTTTTTGTCCAGGGCTTTTGTCTACCTGCTCCTGGCTTTCTCTGGGCTACCTCTCCTTCTCTTGGGCCTAATGGCTCCAAACCTGGGAAATAGGAGCTCTTCTCATGCACCCTTCTGTTGCTCAGGGTCTCACAGGGCCACATCTGGAGTTCCCAGCACCAGAGATGTGGGGAAGGCTAGGAGAGAGGCCAGAGGAGGGATGGAGAGGGTTCGTTGGCAAGGTTATTGGAAGTGGGATGACTGAGCCTGGGGGAAGGCGGTAGGATTCAGGTAAGAGCAGGACAGTTCATTGTTTTGCAGTATGTAGAGGCTGACTCTCTAGGGCATCTGACCAGTTGTTTGGATGGGCATGAGTATCGGTAGGCATGGAATAAGTGGGAAGAGAGAAGAGGGAATGTTGGAAGTAGGGCCGTGACAAACAGGAAGGTGACAGGGCGAGACTAACTCATGCTCTGACCTGTCCCTGAGTCGTGACTGGCCTCCCCTTGCCTGTACATCCTGAGTCCTATAGATTATGCAGCTGCTCCCTCGCCAAGGTCAGGACGGTGGAACTAAATCATGTACAGTGCCCAGCAGTGTGCTGTGGCTGTGGGGAAATTTAGCTCACAGCTGGAACCCGGATTCTTCTGATAGTGTGTGCTGCTGGGTACTGTGCATGTGGACGTGCATTCTGCATGTGTCTTTTGTGCTGAATGTAGTGCACATGTATTGCTCATCTAGTCATGTGTGTGCCGTGTGTATCTTATGTGCCCTATCTGTGGAGTACACACATGTGCCAACATGGCAGCTGTGCGCTGACATATTGCATGCCTGCTGAGCGGTGCTGCACCGCATTGTATTGTGTTGGCGCGTGTGTGTTTCATGCTTTGTATGTGTTATGCACACTATGCATCGTGTATACACTGTGTCTTGAATTATACCGTGTGCACTGTGTGTGTGTTCTGGCTTCAGACAGTTCTGCACAGGCCTCCCGGGTACAAGTAACAGTCCAAACACTGGATGAGAATGACAATGCCCCACAGCTGGCCGAGCCCTATGACACCTTTGTGTGTGACACAGCTGCCCCTGGCCAGGTGAGTAGGGCTTCATGACAGGAGCAAGGAGGAGGCAGGGTCCTTAAGGAGCTCTCATTCCTCTGAGTCCTGCTCTCCTTTACCAGCTGATTCAGGTTGTCCGGGCTCTGGATCGAGATGAAGTTGGCAACAGTAGCTATGTCTCCCTGAGTAGCCCCCTGGGCCCTGATGCCAATGTCACTGTCCGGGACAATCGAGGTAGGTGATCCCCACACACATGCCTTCCAACACATGAATGCACTCATACTATTGTTGGCATGTCTCCCTGACACACATCTTCCCCTGGCATACATCCGTATATCCCCCTACCATACCTCTCCTCTCCTGCTTAAGCTACCACCCCCTTCCCCACATATACCACTCCCCAAATGCAAATGATGGACCCTCCATAACACATACAACTTCCCCCAATACATCTACCCCTTCCACCATGATTCTCATACAGGCTCAGACCTTCCCCCGACCCCAGCTCCCAATTTAGCCTTATCTATTATATATATATATATATATATATATATATATGTATGTATATATATATATATACACACACACACACTCAGCTCTCCTTGCCCCTTACCTTGAGGCCCCTAACCCTGCTACCTTCTCTCTCTCTCCCCCTCTCTCTCCTCAGATGGTTCTGCTAGTCTGCTGTTGCCCCCTCGCCTGGTCTTGCCTCGCCGGGAGCCCTACCTGGTGCCCATTGAGTTGCGTGATTGGGGTCGGCCGGCACTGAGCAGCACAGCTACGGTGACAGTCAGCATCTGCCGTTGTAAGCCTGATGGCTCAGTGGCCTCCTGCCGACCTGAGGCCCAGCTCTCCCCAGCAGGACTCAGCACCGGGGCTTTGCTCGCTATTTTGGCCTGTGTAGGCACCCTCCTGGGTAAGATGCTACGTGGGTTATAGTGGGACATTAGGAGAAGTAAGGGAGGGACAGGATATACATCATATAGCCAATGGGCTGGGGAAAGGGAATGGCATTGACCCACTTAGAAAGGTATGGGGACCACGATCTCATTCCTGGAGCAATCGGGTGGGCCTCTAGTGGGGTAAGCTAACCTCTCCATCCTCACCAGCCCTGGTGGTGTTGTTTGTGGCCCTCCGGCGACAAAAGCAAGAGGCACTCATGGTGTTGGAAGAGGAAGATGTTCGAGAGAACATCATCACCTATGATGATGAGGGCGGCGGTGAGGAGGACACAGAGGCCTTCGACATCACAGCCCTGCAAAACCCGGATGGGGCAGCCCTGCCTGCCTCAGCTCCACCGGCTCGTCGAGATGTGTTGCCCAGGGCCCAGCCCCCTCGACAGCCACGGCCCCCTGGTCCTGCGGATGTAGTGCAGTTGCTGGCTCTGAGGCTTCGGGAGGCAGATGAAGACCCCGGTGTCCCACCATACGACTCTGTGCAGGTGTATGGCTACGAAGGCCGAGGCTCATCTTGTGGCTCCCTCAGTTCTCTGGGCTCGGGCAGTGAGGCAGGTGGCCCCTCTGGGCCCCCCGAGCCCCTGGATGACTGGGGGCCACTTTTCCGTACCTTGGCTGAGCTGTATGGGGCAAAGGAGCCCTCCGCTCCTTGAGGACTGGTCCTAATCCTGCCTGTTTGTGTGGAGCCCCCATCTAAGCTGTGCCCACTTACATGCCCTCTAAAAGGGAGCTCCACGGGGTCCAGTGGGCAGCAACCACCAGCCCCTGGGCCCACTGGTCCTTCCACTCCGAGTCTCTGGTCCTTTTCCTATTGCTGTCTCTTCTCTCTAATTCTTGCCCCGTGAATCCCTCTCTGTCTCTTTTTGTGTCTCCTCTCTGACTCCCTACATCTCTGTCTAAATATGCCTCCCTCTCTTTCTCACTTCGTACATCTCTTTTGGCACTCCTCTGTCTCTCTCTCTGACTCACTATATCTCTCTTCTCAAGTGTGCCTCTGTCTTCTTTTCTCTCCTCATGTCTCTTTGTCGTACTTAACATATGGGTGCCTCCCTCTGAATCTCTCCCTCCCTATCTGCCTGTCTGTCTCTCTCACACAGCCTATGTCTACCTATCTCTGTTTCCCCTGCCCACATCCCCCGTGGTTTTCTCTGGGTCTCTGTGACCAAGTTTTAACAGCTTTTTGGTTTTTCCGTCACCCATCTCAAGAACAAGAAAACTTCCAGCCACTGACGCCACCCGCCTATGGGGAATACTTCACCCCAGGTCAGTGCTTGACCCAGAGCTTGGTGCTGGGGAGCGGACACTGCCCCTTCATCAATGAAGCTGGGTAGAGGGACAGGGGTGGGCCTCCAGAGACCTCTTACTTCCTTGGGGGCAGAGCTAAGTGAGAGGGAACATTTCATAGTGGGGACAAGATAGGTGAGAGTGTAGACCTTTACCTCCCCTCTCATTTCCCTACAGATTCTGCCCGCATGGTTTCCATCCATCACTCATGGCCTCACCCTGGCCCAACTGACCTCCAGCGGGGAGAGGGAGCTAGGCCCTTGCCCAGGGGGCCAAAACCCTGAGTCTGCCCCCCAGGCCACATCTCTGGGGAGCTCTGGCCCTGGGGGTGGTCTGGCTATTGGCCTACTTTGGGCATTTCACATCGTGTGCTTCCATGTCCCAAGGGGAAGGGAATGTCGGGGATAGGGGGTGGGGGGAGCAGCTGGGAAGGGAGAAAGTGGGAGGGAGGGAGGGGCCTCCATCTCTAATTTCATAATAAACAAACACTTTATTTTGTAAGGTCTTAGTGGTGGCTATGCTTTTAAACCAAGGTTTCATTATAAGATGTCGTGGCATGAAGGAACAAGTGTGAAGGCCTGGGCCCTATCCCCACTCTGCCTATTTCTTCTTCTGATATGACACTTAGCTTAGCTCTTTTTTCTCTTCTCCCTCTCTGTTCTTGTCCCTGACCCCTCTGCTGTGCTCCTCTTTCCTTTCCTCCACTCCCTTCTGTGCCCCACTGACAAGCCTTTCCTTCATCACCAACCTGGGGGTGACTCCCTTAGGGGCTCTCTCTGTGTCGGGGAGAAAAGGGAAGCTGAGTTTGGTTACCAGTTCTATTCCATCGATTTCAGATCGCATCTGGAGAGACTCATATATTGAGGAGGGTGGAGGGGAAGAGGCAGTGGAGAGCAGTCAAGGCAAGGAGGAGACAAAATGAGAGGAACCTAAAAGAGGAATTACTGGGGAAGAGGAGAAATACAGCAAAGTGCTGCTGGTAGAACAAAAAATAACTCATTTATTTAGCACTGTCAGGTTTATAAAATTCTCATGACAGCCCTATAAATTTAGGCAGTGCAAACATTATTATCTCCATTTTACAGATGAGAAAACTGAGTTCAAAGAGGTTAAATGATCTTGTCCAAGATTCCTCATCCAGTAAGTGGCAGAACCAGAATTGGGGGTCATCGGAAATAAGAAAATATGCAATATACGACACAAAATACACAATAGTGTATATTCCTGGTCCGGCAAAAGGAAGAGATGATCAATCAGTCCCTTCCCCAATTAAGAAAAGGGTGGTCAAGGATAATCTGGCTGAGAAATACAAAATTTGGGGATCCATTAAGCTTCCTTGTGGACGTTGCTCTCTTCTTCCAGCAGGGGGCATGGGTTGAGGGTAGGTAAGGAGGGTTGGGCCCTGTACTTCAGCTTCCTCCACCCTGATCCATAACAGGCTGTCCTTGACATCTGATTCTGATCACTGGAATCACTGCAGAACCAGGACAGGGAGAATGGGAACAGCAGCACAGACACCTGCCCTTCCCCACCTTTATAGTCATTCCCTCCTTTCCAATGTTCCCATAATCCTTCACTTTACTAACAATAAGGCCAGGAAGGATTCGGGAAATGATATGTGGACAAGACCCTCACCACCCTGAGAACTGGTCATCTGACTCATAAATAACTTGCCAATCTAAAGGACAGAAATAATCAAGGGGAAGAAAAAAGGGGGAGAGCTAAAAAGAGAGGAATGAAGGAATGGGGTAGAGAAAAAAAGGGTAGGGGAAGATAGGAGAAAATAGAGGAGGAGGAAGATGAGAGGCAACAGTGCACTGTGGCAAAAACTGTGGGTCTGAAGGTAGAGGACCTGGGATCAAATTGAGGAGGTCTGGGGGTGCTGGGACCTTGAGAATGTCAAGGCAGAGTTGCCTGGAATGAATTCACACACTCGAGCCTTTTCTTAGTCAAGTGGCAAAAAGTTTATTGTAACACTTTAGCAAAAGCGGGCAAGGGTCCTTATGGAACCTTCAAGAGAATTAGGATGGTGCTGGGACTTATATGGAAAAGGGTCATGGGAAAAGAATGCCAGGGATGCTAATTAGGTAAGCTAGGGGTCCAGGTGTCTTTGAGAGTTATGGATGGGAAACTATAGGGAGTACACCAGACATTGAGGGAATTATTAAAGACATGGACCTTGGGGATCTGATGACAAGAAAGTCCTTGGGCCAGCCAGGGACAAAAATCCTTGGGCCAGGCACCCCTCTGAAAGTTCTGATAAGAGACTGTGTTCTGCAACAAGAGAAAATTTTCTCATAGGACAGAGGCTTATTGAGAAATTGGGAGGCTTCCAGAGACATGATCTTTGGGCTGCGGCCTGAGCACCCCATCAAAATTCTCTATCTGCTTCTTGTTACCTGTGTGACCTTTGGGCAAGGCATCTAACTCCTCTGGGCTTCAGTTTTCTCATCTTCAAAACGAGAGAGCTGGACCAGATGACCTCTGAGGTCCCTTCCAGCCCTAAATCTAAAGTCCTAAGAAGAAAGGTGAGAAGTAATGGAAGAGAAATTAAAGAAGAAAAGAAAAGGATTCATCCCCATGCCCTCTCCCACTCAGTCTGGGTCTATTCGTAGAATCTTAAATGTGAAATGGACTTAGAGGCGATCTAGTCTCACCCCATTGTTGCTTGTCCTTAGTGCTCAAAGGGGACCAAAATGACTCTCCCCATCAGGATCTAGGGAAGATAGTTCTGAGGCAGTGGCCCCCTACCAGCTAAGAGACCCCCTCGGCTACTTCCTCCATGGAATTCCTTAGAAAACAGCCTCCTTCTTCCCTGTCCTTTTTCTTTACCCCAGTTCTCCAGGACAGAGTCTAAAGAACTGAGGAGTCAAGGAAAGGGGAAGAAGGGGACCTTTAACTGACCCCACTTCCTCCCGCCTTCTACATCAAGAGGAAGAGATAGCATGGAAAATCTCTTAGAGACAATCTTCATGGCTGTGTCTGCGGGGGCTATGTGTGTGTCATGTGTCTCTCCATCTGTGTTGCCATTTTTGTGTCTAAATCTTTATATGTACATAAGCTAACACTGGTAAAGATCACCCTCTTCCCCATGTAAACCTTTGTAAAACTTAATGGGCCATATGAATGTGAGCTATTATTAGTTTGCAAACAGGCCCCCTCAAATATGTGAACATAGGTACAGACCCTACTGTGCATTAAACATTTAAACCCTAGGACCAAAGTGGCCCTTTTTTGATTCTCTCAATAAAAACAACATGGGTTGCTAATTACTCAGGGCATCTGGTCCTAATTGCTGATCTGCTTCACCTGTGTATCATCACTGATTATAGATAATACCTCCCTTCCATACACATATAGAGCCATCCATACACATAACTTGAACATGAGAAGTTGGGAGGTTCTCCTTCCCTACCTCACCCCCCTCTCCCCCTGAAATCAGTCCTTTCCTTTCTTTATGGTTCCCAGAGCATCCCCTGAGTGGTGCAGGTGTATTATGGGAGAATGGAACTATATTCAAAAGGAAATATTGAAAGCAACTGGTCATCCATTTTCCTCTCCAGCTTACCACTCTACTTCTAGTCCACAGCCCAGACTTCCTTCTCACTCTGAAGGATTTTAGCCACCTCCTCTTGACCTCCTCTGCCACCTCCCCTCACTGCTTTGCTTCCCATGTCTTTCTGTCCCTCTTCTCCCCTTTCCCCCATCATTTCTTTCACCTAACCCCACGAACATATGACATGAACTGGGAGTACATTGGAAAACTCTGGTTCTGGGAACAAAGGATTATAAAACCCTTTAGACTCTTGATTTCCAAAGGGAGGTGGCTGTCCTTCAGGAAAGCAATTGAGGAGAGAAAATGAGGGTAGAAAAGGTAGTAATGTAGGTAACAAGCATTTATAACACCCTTACATACTAACGGTGGAAGACAATAGACAAAAGGGAGTTTAAAATGGGGGTAGGCGGTAGGTAAAGGTACTGAGCTTTGGGGCCTGGTGTTCTCAGAAAATGGGCAGCACAGCTAAGAGGGGTATAAAGATTGGTCTACCTGGGCCCCTCTCCCAAATGGAGGTCCCATGAGAAACTCACCCATAGGAGAAGCAGGCCAGCATGGCAATAGATGTCCCAGGAGGTGGAAGGGGAAGAGTTGAAGAATCTTTTGCCAGAAACAAGAATTGATGGGAAGTTAGTTATAAACTTAGCCAGAGCAAGGTCCCAGAATCAGAGGAGAAAGGATTTCAGAGGTCATCTAGACCATCTGGTTTGTTCTCATCTCTGCAACATTCCTGACAAGAGCTGGAATACAGTGGAGCACATGGAAAGAGTTCTAGATTTGAATAATGGCTCTACCAGATGCTGTTTCCATGATTTGGGGCAAGTTGTTTTATCTCTCTGAGCCTCAGTTTCCTTATCTGTAAAAAGGGGAAGTAAGATGAGATAATGTCTAAGATGTTCCTTCTAGCTCTGAACATTCTGACTGAAGACATCCAGTGTTGGGGAATCCATTCTTGAACTTCCACGTTGTTAGGGAAGTTTTCTCTTATGCTAAGCCTAAATCTGCTTCTGTGCAACTTAGGTTGTCTTCTAGTTTTGCCTCTAGGACCAACAAGGACAAATCTAATTCCTCTTCCCAATGAAAGTTCTCTAAATATGTGAACTGAAGATAGTTGTCATGTTCCCCATTTCTCTTATGTGACATCTTCTCCAGTCTCGCAAACTTCTTGGTCCACGCTTCTGGATGAACTCTTAACTTGACAATAGTAAGCATTCCTTGCAAAGGTAGGGAAACTACAGGTATTGAACACTAGCTCATGTCAGATTTTTTTCAATGTATCAGTTATACTGAGCTGTTTTGCTTTTCCTCTTATTATTTGTTATAAGGGACAGATCTCTGAAGGGGATATAATGATAAATGTAGGTGATGTAAAAACAAAAATTACCAATAAAAATTTATTTTTAAAAATATGTAGTAACCAGAACAGAAGGAAGTGCTTCAAGTGTGGTCTGACCAAGAAGATATGAATGCTCCCTTTCTGGATTATTTTCCTCTCTTATTGTAGCTTAAGACTGAATCATCTTTTTTGATGGCTAACACATCTCAAGCTTTCTGTCCACTAAATCCTGACCCCCAAATCTTGTTCACAGGAATTATTGTCTTAGCCATAACTCCTCCCTACTTGAACTATATTTGTACAATTGATTTTTTGAACCCCTCTGCAGGACTTTACATTTATCCCTCTTGTCCAGCCATGATCTGCTCCCAAGTTACAGACTCTCCAACTTGCTGGGACAGGAGGTAACATGCCAACAAGACCAACCCTTTTGCCACAAACCCACTACTTTTTTCTGCTGCTCTGCCATCTGTCTCCCCACCCCACCCCCAACAACAAACTAAGAG